GAGAGAGAGAGAGAGAGTATTGAGAAATACAAAAAAGAAAAAGCTTGAACATAAAAAGCAAATGCGTATTATAACAGTCCAGTATATGTATGCCTACTTCCAGTAATGCCAATCAGGTTGAGATGTCACGACGACGCGAGTATGAGTGTGTACACATTGCCTTCCTTCTGAGTACATACATATACACGGGTACATTATATATGCGTGTATACGATTGTATGCTTGTGCAGGACGTCGTACATCAATGAGCCACGATGCCAAATCCCATTCTAAGTGGCGTAAAACGGATGTAGCATGATCCACGCGTGAGCGTTTCGGCGAATGAATGAAAATAAATATTAGCTGTCGAGAGAAATTAATTTATGGACACGAGATATAAGTCACGTAGCATGCGGCGTGATTCTTATTAAAATATTAATGAACGAGCGATTCAACGGGAGATAAATAAAAAGGAAAAAAGAAATGTTGAGATAATGTCAATGAAAGAATGACGAATACCTACGTTTGAAGCACTTAAAACAAATTTCGTTCGCTATGTGCCGATTATATTTTACGTATTCCATCATGTTTCCTCAATTTACACCTGACAGTTACATCGACATTTGATCTCTAACACGGATTTCCTAATATCATTTTTGGGATTAATATATATTCTAATAAAAAAAAAAAAAATAATAATAATAAAAAAAATAAAAAAAATTAAAAAAGAAAACCATTTCAAAATCCTATCATGTATCCTACCATGTATTTGGCGATTATGATGATGAATGGACATGGTCGTTTTTACCTGTTCTGAGCGATTTTTCTCAGCGTGTCCGGGCTTCGTATGAGCTTATCCAAAGTCTGCGTAAGATTGGCAAAGGTTGGCCGATGAGTGCGCTCCTTTTGCCAGCAATCGAGCATCAGCTGATAGATAGCCTCCGGACAATCCATCGGCGCTGGAAGTCTATAGCCCTTCTCGATCGACTTTATCACATCTTGATTCGACCAGTTCCAGTACGGTCTTTCGCCATACGACATTACCTCCCAGCATACGATACCCATGCTCCAAACATCGGAAGCGCTCGTAAATTTACGGAACGCTATCGCCTCCGGTGCCGTCCACCGTACCGGGATTTTACCGCCCTGAATATAAAATGATAAATTGATTAAGCGAGAAATTCTAGATACGTTTGAGACACGATTCTTAACACCAATTCCTATTAATTTTGATTTTATAACTTGAATCTATCGCTCACCCTTGTCGTGTAAGCACCCTCTGTGGCACTTTCGATTTCTCTACTAAGTCCAAAATCAGCGATCTTGCAAACCAGGGCAGCGTTGACTAACACGTTTCTCGCGGCGAGGTCGCGGTGCACATAATTCATCTCTGCCAGGTACTGCATACCGCTAGCGATGCCGCGCAGCATGCCCACCAGCTGAAGCACTTGGAACTTGCCGTCGTTCGCGCGCAGGAAGGTATCCAGACTGCCGTTTTCCATAAACTCCGTGATAATCATCACCGGATTGCTCTTTGTCACCACGCCTTGCAGGAATATCACGTTGGGGTGCTCGAACTGACCCATTATCGACGCCTCCGTGAGGAAGTCGTTACGAGCCTTGTCGGCGGAGCCCGGCTTCAGGGTCTTTATGGCCACGTCTATTTCCGTCCGTCCGTCAGGAGGCAATTTCAGCTTTCCTCGGCAGACATCGCCAAACTCTCCGCCACCTGTGGTCGTGAAAAAGTCATGAGTAAAAAGTTACAAGGATCATCTTAAGTGATAATCACTGATAACGCGCAGAGTCTCACCTATGATAGCTTCTATCGTGATGTATCCGGCGTCGATCTCCCGGGCGAACTCGCGCACCGCCTGATTCGGGTCCTCGTAGGTGTGAGGATCCACGTAACTCCTTGCACCTGCACCGCCTGCGCCGCCTGCGCCCGTCGCGGCGACCCCCACTGCAGGTGTGAACAGCGGCGTGGTCACTGCAACGTCACGAAAACAGAGTTCATTATATTAACACGAGGGCCGGTGGTGCGAAATTTTGACAGAACTCTAGACCGCGCGTCCCAACATTCGTTCTATCGCTCGGCCAACCGTGTCAAATCCCGCAAAAAAGGAACACTCACACATTCTCTCTCGTCAGCGAGTTTAAAATTTCCAAAAAACAAGACACAACCAAGAAAGCCAAACGCAGGTGGATTCTAAAATATATTTCATATTTTTTTTTTTTTTTTTT